TAGCAGCATTGCACAAAGCAGGAAAAGGAAGTCAGCTGAGCTCAGTACTAGCACATCTGCTTGCCACACTAGGAAGAGAACAACTCCTACAAAAAAGGTATGTCAGCCAGTCCTTATTCAATTAAACTTTTGAAATTAACATTCATTTGCTAACAACACTTTGTTTCTTTTCCTTCTAGTCAGCAAACACAAACATTTCACTTGTGAAGGTTGCAGCCAGTGCTAGGGTGGCAACTGAAAAAGGTGGTTCAGCCAGTGTGAACCTTCAGGCCATAGTGCCACACTCTCAATGTTCTTCTTCTGCTTCAGTGAGGATCACTTCTGGGAAAGCAAGTGTTTATGTGCAAGCTCAAGAACCAGCCACTACCAATCCCAAGAAAACACCTGTAGGTCCACTGATGCTGATTCCCCTATGGGAAACTGTCACGCCCAGAAATTTAACCCAAATTTCCAGACTATTTTGCGTTTTAAATCCCTGTCCAGGACCAGCCAGGGTACACAAAACGACAAGTAATATACAGTTCCAAACGTAAATAAAGCGTAAAATACTTACGGAAGAGGCACTTAGTCCTCACACCGAAACAGAACGACAGCAGCGAAAAAAGGCGATCCTAGCGGGGCTTCAGCTCTACTCCACAGGCAAAACTCAACTGGGGTCTGAGCCTTGGTCCTCTAACTCCATCTTCAGCTCAGAAGCACTACACTTCTGAAAATGGGGAATAAAAGCAAGACTGAGTACAACCACCGTACTCAGCAAGCCACACCAACGATGCAGTCCCCTCTCGTGCCTAGGTGAATCCGGAAGCGACAGAGGCCGTCGCAGGGCCCGCCCTGCTCCATCACGCCCACCCTTGCCTGGATGCGTCGACTAGAGGAAAGCTACACTACAAGCCCAGCCGTTGCCCACGCTGGCTTGTGGTAAGTACGATAAGTTCTTCTAGGGCATCCCGCGAACCGGTCCTTAACTGCCATGGGTGCAACCAGCAAAACCATGCACCCATAGCCCACCATTCAGTCGTATTTTAGTTGGATAATTACGACCACGAAGCATGGCCAGATGTCTCGAGCACGCAGCTCAACAAGATACTAGAATGTCTAATACTGCAATTATCCCATCGACTGAGCTAGTGGTAATTAAGCATGGCTAAGCATATAGTTCTAGCTAGGTCACATAAGTAACATGAGCTAGTCGATTTATTACCCAATGTTGACAAAGGACATATATCAAGTAAACATGACACAAGCGAGCAGATAGGTAAAACCCTGACCCCATGTAATTAGCAAAATATGCATATTTATTTGCAAACAGTAAAACATTTGTAAATTGGGATCAACATGCTCAAGGGGAATGTGTGACTTGTCTTGCTTCTTCAAACAATCTTCCGAACTCTTATCCTTGCGACCGTGATCTTCCGAAACGACGGATTCTACACGCAGGCACGCAAAACGAGGAAAAACTCTAATAAAAACCAAGGAAACAGTACATAAAAAGTAAACAAACATGTAGAGCTCAATTTTAGATGAATTTTGCAAGTTGAATGGCTCAATTCGGAGTTCGAATGAATTAGATATGAATTTTAGAAGTTTTGAGCCATTTAAATGAATTTCCAGAATTATTAACGAATTATTGTGCAATTGTTAATTATTTTATCAAAGGAAAAGGCTCCTGCTGGCGTCATCAAAGGGTAGCGGCGCCGACAGGCGGGCCCCACACGACAGCGGGCAAGGGAGTGGTCCACCGTGGACCGGGACCACGGGGTGGTCCACCGCCGGTCCACGGGAACCGACAGCCCAGATCAGCCCGAGCTGATCGGGCGGCCACGGGGTGGCGCGGCTGAGCACGGGCACGGCTCAGGCCGGCCCGGCCGAGCGACGGCTCACGGCGGCGCGGCCTCCTGCGGCGACGGCCGACGCACGCGGGAAAGCTGCGGCGCGGCGCGGCAAGGGGATCCGGGCGGCCTAGGCGAGCAGGGCGGCGACAAGCCGGCCGGCCGACCTAACGGCGGCGGCGCACGGCCCGGTGGACGCCGGCGGCAGCCACCGGCGCGGCAGCACGCACGGGAGACAGAGGAGGGAGGCAAGGAGGGAGAGGAGGAGCTCACCAAGGACGCGACGACGAGGGGCGGGGAAAGGCGGGGAAGCTCGGCGTCGGCGCTCCTCGGGACGAAGACGGAACGGCGGCCCGGCAGCGTAGGGTGGAGGTGGCTTGGGATGCACGGTGGAAGGGTGGTTGCGGCGATTAAATGGGGAAACGGAGCGGAGGCCGGGGTGCGGCGAGGCACGGAGAAGCCGGTGGTGCAAACGGCGCGGCGCGGCAGTGGCTAGGGCGGCGGCTAGAGGTGGCTGGAGCTCGCTGGGGACCAATGGAGACAGGGAGCACGGTGGAGAGGTGGTTCGCGTGGTGGAAGGGGAGGAAGAAATGGCGGCCGAGCGTGCCCTTGAGGTGGCAAAGCCAGCGGTGGCGGCGGAGCAGTGCGGCGGCGACGCTAGCGACGGGAAACGGCGGCCGGAGTTCGCCGGAGTGTGGCGGCGCGCGGGAGCGGCGTGGGGAGAGCGAGGGAGAGAGTGCCGGGCCCGGGAAACAAGGGGAAATGGACGAGGGGAGCACGGGGGTGCTTTTTATGGGCTCGGGAAGGCGGGATCGAGGCCGGACGTGGCGGAATCGGCTGGCGAAGTGGGGCGCCGACGTGGGGTGGTGGAGGGGTTAACCGGCGCCGATTTTCGCGGGGAGAGTGGGGGGAAAAGGTGAAGGAGGTGGAGGGGATCGATTTCACGCGCTCGTGGGGCGGGGTGGAGCGCAGGAGCCGCGGCGTCGTGGGACGAAACCGGCGGCCATGGTGGCAGTGGGCGACGGGAGGTTGGGGAAGAAGATGACAGGTGGGGCCTCGGGTCCCACCTATCAGGGAGAGAGAGAGAGGGGAAAACGGGCGAGGGAGGTAAAGCAGACTTGAGGGAGAGAGAGAGCCGAGCGGGCCGAGGGAGGAGGCCGGCCCGAGAGGGAGAGAAAAGGGGCGCGCGGGCCGCGGGAGAGAAGGAAGACTTGGGCCGAAAATGGCCCAAAGAGAGGAAGGGGGATTTTAATTGTTTTTCTTTTTATTTAGTTGGTTAAAATGAACTTGGTGCTTTTAAAATTATTTCTTGAGCTCCGAAAATTCACGGAAAATTCTAGAGAGTACATTAGGGCACAAAGAATATTACAGAATATTCCCGGCCAATGATTTTTAAAGGAAATTTTAATTTCCTCCATAATTCCACTTGATTAAATTGGTTTAACTTTTATTTAATTTCTAGAAAATGCATTATTAAATGATTTTTTTTAATCCCGAACGAAAATCGGGGCGTTACAGAAACTGACAAGCTGTGATGCCATATTGTGCTAACTAGGCAATGTTCTGTGCTTTTTGTGTATTTTGGCAGACTCTAAGCCAACTATGCCTATCTGTGAACTTTATATAATTTGGCAGACTCTAAGCCAACTTTGCCTATTTGTTTAGTTTCTGTAATTTGGCAGACTGCTTGCCAACTATGCTGTGATGTGTGCTTGTTCTGGCAGACTGTAAGCCAGCTAAGCTATGTGGATTGTTATCATCTAAATTGAGTAACTTTGCTCAAATGGTGTGTCATAACCTAATCTGATATGAGATGGCATTTACTGAGCTGATCTGATGTTATGAACTGACTCTTATCAATTTGTTATGCTAAAATTATGTGCAAAGTTACCAATACTCAGTCACTGTTCAGCCAACCACTGCAAAGTCAGCTCAAATATATGCAATGTCAGTGTCATTACTGAATATCAATCACAATTCAGCCAACCACAAATCCATTCACTTAACTTAGATAGTCAAAGAGCACAGCTCAGTTTCTTGGAAAAATACAGCAAAATGCTTTTAGCTACCAGCATTTTGACACATAGATTAACACATTGCACCTCACATCTGAACTGAAATCACATCAAACAACACAAACATGCATCCCAACAACATCAGTACAAGCCAAACTCTCTGTTTCTCTAGCCTACTGTTACTTGCTCTCATAGCAGCCATGTTAGCTTCATTCTCAGCTGCCACAAGCCTCAATTGTGCCACTTCATTCATTGCTACCCCTAATTCTAGGCACCGCTCTTCTACCTTTGGCCTCAGTTCTTCAACACAACGTTGCAGCTCATTCTTCTCCCTTCTTAGCGATAACACGGCTTCACGAAGATCGTTCAACAGCTCCCTCAAAAAACTGCTTGTTGCGGGCTCATACCAGTCAAAAAAATCGCAGCCGGCGCCCTGAAAACATTACATCCCAAATCACCCAACCATACTGCCAGCTCAAACAAAAAAACAAGCAAGCAAACGAAATCTGAATCACTCACCCGATTGCGGCATCGGTAGTACCGTCGACCAGGGTTGTCCACGCTCTAGGAAATCCACCGCACCGCCTTCGCACCACACCGGCACATCACCGCCAGCTGATAATCATAGGGCCCAACTCGCGCCGGGATGGGAGCACGACTGCTGGGATGCGACGACCCCGACGACCGGTCACTGCAATAACTCGCCATCACCTAGCCTCACCTCCTCTTGTCGCCCCCGCCGCCACCGCCGCTTCCGCCGCCCTAAGCTAGGGTTTCAGCTCGAGAAGAGGAAAATGTCGCGCCAACGCCTGGAAACGGCGAGGACAGAGCCTTTAACCCCGTCTATTAACTCCCCAACGGCGGACTGACCAGTGGGTCCCACAGCGCGACACGTCAGCAAAACCGGGCAAAAACTGAGTCAATACTGCCGGTATTCTAGTTTAGTGACCTTAAAAAATCTCGGTGTCAATTTGAGGGACCTCCGGTGAACTTATTCCGTTCGGTCGGTCCCACCAAACCGCCTCACAGTCACAACGTCTAATTCCGGCCCAAACCGTTCACGTTCACACTCACGACGTCGCTTCGCCTCCTCCTCCTTCCGTTTCCGTTCCGTTCCATTTCCCGTTCACACCCTCCGTTTTTCCATTACAAAGGCGACACGAGGCTTTCTTCCCCCAAATCTCACGCGGCGCTTTCTCTCTCTCCCGCGAGATGGACGCCGCGGCGGCGTCCTCCTCCTCCTCCTCGTCGGCGACGATGGCGGCGGCGGCGGCGTCGGCCGCGGAGGCGTCGTTGTCCGGCTCGCCTGCTTCTTCGAGGAACGCTCGCCATCGGCAGCGTAAGGGGGTCCGGCTCCGGATGCTGCGACGGCGGGGGCGGCAGCCTGTGGAGGCCGAGCGCGCCCCGGGCGATGGGGGCGGTGGCGCCGTGCAGGAGGATCTCGCGCTGCCTCTCGGAATGTCCTTCGCCGCCGTCCTCGCGCAGGTGCGTCATGGCGGGTGGATTTCCTTATAGGCAAACCCTGAAGAAAGTAGTAGTACTAGTACTTTTTTCTTCCTTGGCGCTGTTCGTGATCCTCTCTGCGATGTTCGTGCCATCAAATGTACTAGCATATTGCGTGTAGATTCTGTTGCTAGCGTCTCACGAACACGGTAATCTGAGAGGTTGCGTGCTCTGGATGGTAGCTTAGAATGGGAAATGGAACGTTAGACGCGGCAGCTTGGGGCCGAGGAAATTCTTTGTGCTATACTTCCCTCAATGGAAATGTCATTGAGCCAAAATAAAAAAAAGTCATTTTAGTTCACAGCTATATGCTCAGATTTTTCACAAATAAGGGGAAAAACTAGGATGCAAAATGATGAGAACAAGGAATGATTATGAATAAGACAGCAGAGAAATTGGGCTTGACAATGTTGTGGCTTTATGGGTTATGCAAGCCTTGTACTTTTGTCAAATAAGTAGTGTGGCATTTACCGTCTTATTGCAAAATTCAACTTCATTGCTACTATTATTCTTCATTTCCATACTTATAGTGGACATGAAATTAAATAGTCATTTCGATAATACTACCCCGTCATCCTGTCATTGGACATTAAATTAGTCACAGTTCAGCATCTCTTCATCCGAAAGCTTGCACTATAGCAGCATTTTGAACACAGATGCATATGCATGTGCAAAGTCTATCTAATATTCACCTGCGTACATCTGGACATTTGCATTAGTAATTATAAATAAACATGTTTGTACACCGGTTTAGCCCTATGCCCTTATTGTTCAGGTAACAAGGAGCTGCTTTCGTTGACCGCAGGTTATAAATACAAAGAATATTTCAGGACAAAGATTACATCCTGATTTCCTCTCCAAGGTACGTGCTTTCTAATTTGATTTATGAACTCTGTTATCCATAAACCCACAAATTGATGGTCTGAAATTGGGTTTGAGTGTAGATCTGTACATCAGCAGTCAAGGAATCTCTGACAAATGTAAGCCCGGCTACCACTATTATTCAGTTCTCATTGTCTCTTAGTATTCATTGTAATATCCTTTAATTATCGTTTCTGTAGATATATGGTGACAGTTCCAACAGTTTCATCAAAAATTTCGAAAAATCTTTCAGCAGCACTTTTAGGACGCTTCATCTTGTTAATGAAATACCTGTGAATGAGAGAAGTCATATTCCTGAATGTTCTTTTAAACATGATGATTCTGTGGCTGTGGACAGCTTGAGCTCATCTGATTTGCAAAATCAGACAAACAGAATAGAGCATGACCTTGTGAACACAGTGGAAAGTCAACTAGTTCTCTTTGCCAGTGACAATCAGCAGTTAACGCATCTTCGGCATAGCAGATCCTCTCCTGAAGCTGATAATCGCATTCTTAATGCCATTGATCGCTCGAACGAACTCAAGGAATTTGAAATAGGGCTTACCATGAGAAAGTTGCAACTCAAACAGTCACAGTTAGCTCTTAGTTCCCATTCACACATGTTAGAGAAGATTAAGCTATCTTTCGGATTTCAGAAAGCTTCCTTCAAAGGAGAGAAATTCAAGACTCGCATGCAGGAGACAAGAGACGCAGAAATCCTTAGGACGCTAATAGATTTTCTTGTTAGTGCTGTGATAGTTATGTCAGCGTGCTTTGGATATGGAACTTATATTTATTCGTATCAAAGGATAACGGATGTTACGTCAGCTTGTTCTGCCACATCAAAGGTATGTTTATGTAGTACATCTGTTATCACTGAGTAGTTTTCACTTATCGTGTCTCTTTAGTAATCGGAAGCTGTTTTTTTCCCACCCTGTCTCTTTCAGGGATCTAAGTCATGGTGGATGCCAAATTCAGTGTCGAACTTCAGTTCTGGGTTTCTTTTTCTCAGGTGTCATGTAATTGCCGTAACACGTATGTGCTTTGGCATACTAATGATCCTGGCAATTGCTTGGTTAGCATTTCAGCGTTCCTCAACTACTGGGTCAAATATGCCTATAACATTCAATCTCATTTTGCTGGGAATTATCTGCGGCTTTGCTGGAAGGTTTTGTACCAATACACTAGGTGGCGATGGAAACACTTGGCTCATGTACTGGGAGGTTCTTTGTTCTATCCACTTACTTGGAAATCTTTTTCCATCTCTTTTATACCACGTTCTACATGGACCTATTTCAGTATCTCACAGAGAGCAAGTTGTCTGGTTACCATACTGGGTTCGCCGGTGCTTGTTTTATGCTGCGGTGGGGCTTATTCTTCCAGCCTTGACTGGCTTGCTCCCGTTTGCCTCTCTTTCTGACTGGAAGGATCATTTTGTGGAAGAGATAAAATCCATTGTTATCGGTGACAAGATTGAAGCATGAAATTTCTTGGATGTAAGGTGGCGCAATACTTGTCCTGTTGTATCTTTTGAAGAAGTGAAGTTTGTTCAGTTTGAGATTAGCCTCAGAGTTTAGCTTGGTATTGTATGAACTCCAAAGGAGATTATGCTCAAGTTGGTTGCACGTAGACTGACCTGTTAGCTGCCAGCCTGCCACTTTGTTGTAGTTGGAGTGTTATTTTAAACTTTTTTCTAGTTTTATTCTTACTTTGTTGTAAATACTCAATAGCAAGAGATGCTGTTTATCTTTGTTGATTGATTGTTCCACCTGGACATGAGGACAATGAGTGCAGTACAAGACCCTCCAAACGGATTGAGATCCAGTGCAGTTGTTACTATTACTTCAACTTTAGCAGATGGATCAAAAACCAGCGGCTCAGGTCATCAGAAAAATACTGTTCACGAATTACTGTACGAAGTAGCAAATTTCTCCTGTAGCGTTTACTGTTCACGAATTACTGTACGAAGTAGCAAATTTCTCCTGCAGCGTCTAGTGTGCGGTAGGGTGGGAGAGCAAATCCAAGCTGGTGGCTGCATTGATCCAACGGTTATAATGTGCTCTCACTGCTAAAGTTACCGTCGTTATTATGACTGCATTGGATCTCAATTCCCTCCAAACGTCCATGCCCAGTGGCGGATCCATGTATAATTTGTAGGGTTGGCTGATTCCACGGCTTTTTAAAAAACAACCCTATAAAACTTGATTTTCATGTATAAATAAAAATAATAAAGAAAGGGGTTTGTTGGAACCATGCCACTCTATATTTGTAAAATTTGAGATATGCCACTCGTATCTCAATGACATGTAAGACCCACATGAGTCAATGACATGTGGGTCAGGGTGACATATCACAAATTTTACAAAATTTGTGTGACATGGTTCAAATTGTCCCATAAAGAAGAAATGACCCCACTTAAATACAAATCACTCCCCATAAAGAAATAACCCCACTTAAATACAAATAACTAGTAATTGATCTCATAGGTTTATATTTCTGGCTCCACCATTGTCCATGCCAGTGATATCACGCACCCAAGGCTCAACCCTTGAGCAACCTTGAGCTCAGATACATTGTTAGAAAAATTTGCGGTCGGTACATATACGAACACGAGAACAACCGCAAATTCTATGCTGCAATTCAGCAGTTTCTCTATCTTGGATTGAATGAACTATGCACAGATATGCTAAAAACAAATGAGAGTAATTTGTCCTAGTGCCATAAACTGCCAAATTAACCATTGACAATTTCTGGAACTATGGTGATGGAAGTATGATTTACAACATTCTAAAACCAGGGTCTACTTTTCTCACAGAGAACACATTTGCAGTTCGGGATCATATCAGACAGAAGGATGTACATGGAAAATACACAGTACTTCATTATACAACAACCGCAGCAAGCTTACTTGACATATCAATTCATGACCACAGCTTCAAGTAGCCTCGATCATTCCAGAAAGATTTCCAGTCATCTAACTCTTTTGCATGAGAATGAGGTAATCATCTCCTCGTCCCGTGACCGCTTTCCGTGCCCGTTGATGAAGCTGCAGGAGAACTTAACCGGCTGCTGTGTTTCTGCTCCATTGATTGACCATGCAATGTAGGAGCAAGTTAGGAAACATTTTGATCAATGGTCATATTTGAAGATGAGAAAATGTTACTATCTGATAGTAGAGAGCTTTGTCACTAACCTGTGTTGCATTCTATTTGCTTCATCTTCTTAGCTGGATTGGCGTCATCCAATTTTAGTCTTCTCTTCAAACCAAGGGTGATTTCATCGCTAAGTATATCAGCCCCAGTTCTAGACAGAACTCCATCTTCGGAATTCTTGCTCTTCTTAAGACTTTTTCCAGCATACAACCCAAATTTTCGCTTTGGGCAGACCTCGGTTGTACAATCTGAAACCAACCCAAATTTTCTCTTTGGGCAGACCTCTGTTGTACAATCTGAAGCCAACCCGAATTTTCGCTTTGGGCAGACCTCGGTTGTAAAATCTGAAACCAACCCAAATTTTCGCTTTGGACAGATCTCGGTTGTACAATCTGAAACCAACCCAAATTTCCGCTTTGGGCAAACATTGATTGTACAATCTGAAGAGAAGCATATTTTGCAGGGTTAGACTCTATTTTTTGAAATGAACTTCAATACAATGCAAAGGCATTCTTCTAGAATTAAGTGGATAAGATATCACTGAATATTCTTGTGCTAAGAAAAAAAATGAATAAGGAATTGAAACTTGACTTGTTTTCAGGAAACTGAAGCACTGGGAAAATGCCATATAAATTTTACATTGTAGTCTTTATCAAGTTGACTCAAATTTGTTCAAGCCTAGCATACTTAACTCTGCAATACAGCAAACTTCAACAGAAAGTGAGGAAATACTGTGAACTCTGCTTTTTCTTCTGTCTAGTACTCAACGGCTCAACCATATCAGCACCAGCCTTTCATACCTCAATATTATTTGGTGATATATAAATCAGCCTAAAAAAACCAAGTAGCCCAATTTTTTTCGAGGGGACAGGCAGGCAGTTCCTGCAATTCACTATAGAAAAAGAGAGTTGAAAATAGATTACAGTCCTATTGTTCATACTCTTCATAAGACTACAAAAATGAGAATCAGAAATAAGCTATTGGCACTCCAAATTCCAGAATGAAGTGTGACAGTGTGTCAACTTCTATCTGCATTCTACAATATGCATGCTCCAGAGACCAGAGTACCAGAATTCCTAAAAAAATTTACCCAAAATTATCAGGCACCCCACTTGACTCCTGCACTTTACAATACAACTTCCATCTATGCAAACACATGAATCGATGCCACAAAACCAGCAAGCTCACAAACCTCCAGCCAAATCGTTCTCTCTATCTCGTAACAGTAGTAGTGGCATGAATCGAAATTCGAAAACCAACGGTTCGTGGAGAAGCGCGCGCGCATACCTGACACCGGGGGAGGAGGAGGAGGAGGCGCGGGCTTGCCGTGGACGGCGACGGGCGCGGCGGGGGCGTCGCCCGTGGGCAGCCCGCGCGCGGCGAAGAAGTCGAGGAGCGCGCGCCACGTGACGGCGGAGGAGACGTGGCCGCGCCCGCGGCTGACGAAGTAGCCGTTGAGGCGGACGGTGGCCGGGTCCAGCCCCAGCGCCCGGCCGACCATCGCGAGGTCCACCCCGCACCCGCCCTCCACCGCGATCGCCGCCTCCACCTCCGTCTCCAACGAAGACCACCGGAGATTCACGGCCCGGCGCGGCGACGGCATCGCTGCTGCTGCTCTCGATCGAGAGGCGCGCGGAAGCGCGGCGAACTCTCTCTGGTGGTGTCTTGTGGTTTCGAGAGGGTTTTTTTTTTTTTCTAGAAGCGTCGCCGCGAGGTCGGTGTCGGACACGGTCACTGCCAGGTAGGCCATACCTGGTCCGATTAAACTGTACATCGAGGCCTTGGGCCATAAGTCCAACTGCAAGATGGGCCAGATTAAACTGCATACTAGGCCTTGGTCCATAAGCCCATGATCAGTACCGGCAGTCTAACGAAAGCCACTCCTGACTGGGCCCATGCAGAGTGATTGATCTCGCGTGAGTTTGAGATTATTGCATATATAGACATTTCATACTCCCTTTGTTTCGAAATGTTTGACACCGTTGACTTTTTAGCATATGTTTGACCGTTCGTTTTATTCAAAAAATTTAAGTAATTATTAATTATTTTTCTATCATTTGGTTCATTGTTAAATATATTTTTATATAGGCATATAATTTTACATATTTTACAAAAGTTTTTGAATAAGATTTCGAAACGAAGGGAGTACTTATCATAACAAACAAAATTAACGCCTACCAGAAACAGCATAACCACCATCCACTATCTAAAATAAAAACTGATTTGCTAAAAACATGATGCTACATTTTTCAGCTTAACCAAAAACAACACGCTTCCCTACAAGTTAACCTTAACACCAAAATTTCCGTCCGCATGAGCTGCACCTGCACCAAAACCGCCCTTATCTGCAACGGTAAAACAAATGCACGACTTCTAATGACCAAATCAACGGTGGAGATGCGGCCAGCAACACCAATATGACGTACGGCCATCCTGGCGTCACCGTGACGACGACGAGTCGGGCGATATGCCATTGTTCATCTTGCGAGCAAAAAGAACGGCCATATATACAAGCTGGCCACTTCACGAAGAGCTCGGTCCGTTTATTCTCACCGGAGAAAAAAAAAGATAAAAATTCCTTTCGTGTTGCATTTTGTTTCCCGCTTCGCTCGCGAATATTAAATTCGAACCGAAATTTCGTAAAAAGTGGCCGAGATATTCGCGGCAAATCCACCGCCCGTTCGTGCGAGGAGGAGGAAAAGCCACACGTGTTCACACGAGCTGGATAAGATGAAACCAAAAAGTCCAAATTATTTCTGTGCAGCAAAAAAAAAACACCACAACTTTTTTTCCATTAAAAAAGGGAGAAACGGGCGGGGTGCTTGGCTTGACCCGGTCCGCGTGCAAAGTACGCGGCGGGGGTTACGCGGGGCCCACACCCGAGGCCCGCGGGCCACACGCGATCCGGCGCCCCGGACACCGCCGGCCAATCCGGCGCGGCCCACAGGGTTCCCCCCCGCAGGATAGATCCGGACGTGACGCCGACTTATTAAATGCGCTTCTGAGACGCCGCGCTATATGAGCCATCGCGTCCGCCCGTGCACCAGCACCAGCACAGGGTCGTCGTCGTCTCCTTCCTCTCGCCAGTGCCACCACAGCTCAAGCGTGATCCAGCGTCGGGCCGCGCGTGCGAGCGAGCGAGCGTGCGAGATGTCGGCCGCCGGGGAGGAGGACAAGAAGCCGGCGGGGGGAGAGGGCGGCGGCGCCCACATCAACCTCAAGGTCAAGGGACAGGTCTGCCTCTCTTCTTGCTCTCAAACTCGTAGCCTTATTATCCAGTAGTACATAGGAGTAAGTTTGTTCCATAGTGGATGTATGGATTGTAGAATTGAGATTTGAGGGTTAGGTTCGATTGGTAAGCCCGCAAGCGATATAGTGGCGGTTGTTATGTTCGGCGATGGATTCGGATTGCTTTGCGGAGCTATTAGCGTGGCTGCGACCAAGCACTTGGTTCGATGGTTTGACTTTGCTTGATTCGTCCAGATAGGGAACGTTTTGTTTTATGTTGTGCTGATGCTAGTGTGAAGTTCAATTTATGCATGAATCGATCTTTTGTTAGGTTGTTGAGTGATGAGTTTCCTGTGGATTTATAATGGGAATTCGTATTTAGTTGAATGAGCATCATCAGCGCTTGGTAGTCTCACGGAGTTTATGGATAAGGGTTTTATTTATGGAAGGATTTGAGCTTGGATTACTTTCATCCTAAGTTTGCAGCAACATCTTTTAGATGATTTGACAATAATGTTAACTCAGTAACACTGCTAGTGTAGGGTACATAAACTCAGGTTTGATGCCAGCAATCTGAGGACACTGAAATTTTGATTTTTGATTTTTGCCATAAAAATGCTAACTTTTCAGCAAACAAGATGAAAAATATGGTCAGTATTGCTCGTTTAATCTGCTAGAGTTTGCAAATTAGTATCCATCTTCCATTCTTTAACTTGTATGATATCTTGTAAAAATGTGGTCAGTATTCCTTGTAAAAACTTACTGTGGGTTTTATGAACTGTGGGGATTGTATGGTTAATACTACCTTCACTAACTCTTCTGTTGTTCATGCTAATGTGTATGCTGGTCTATTGAATTTGTAGCAATAGTTGGAAGAATCACTCGCTCATTCATTTCAACAGATTGTATGTTTTTGTTGCATGCAACTATTGTTCTGAACGTTGTCGTACTGCATTTTTCAGTAATGGGCTAATCTTTTGCTTCCTGAAAAGTGTGGCACAATCGAGAGCGTACTTTGTTAAATATATCAGTTTACAGTAGAAATACGTATCTTACAAGTTACAGTCAAGTCTAGAGACCATAACTTCAGATGCCTTTGTTTTTTTCCCCTTGAGCATCAGAATTTCCTCTGTACATGATATTTTGGTTATGCAGCACTCTCGAATGAGAAATTATTTGACAATAGTTGTGTTTTTTTGTGCTCGATTCGTTAACAATTTCCTTTGTTCTGTAGGATGGGAACGAGGTATTCTTCCGCATCAAGAGATCTACGCAGCTGAAGAAGCTGATGAACGCCTATTGTGACCGTCAGTCTGTGGATATGAATGCTATTGCATTCCTATTTGATGGTCGTAGGCTCCGTGGCGAGCAGACCCCTGACGAGGTGCGTAGCTTATCTTCTCTTCATACTCAATTCAGTATTTGCGGAGCCTAGCAAATCATCACCAATCCATTACTGATGACCATTGCAAACTTGTTCAGCTCGAGATGGAAGACGGGGACGAGATCGACGCCATGCTCCACCAGACTGGAGGCTGCCTGCCTGCCTAGAAGCTTAGGAGTTCTTGCAGCCTCGTAAAATTGTGCCTTTAGTAGGCTCAATATCTAGAAGTACATGAAAAAAAAGAAGCCTAAAAGAACTTGTGAGGCTTTGGTCCTGTGCCATAGCTGAAGGACATTAGAAGAGCTTTGTTTGGCAAAAATATTTTGGTACTTCGGCTGTTATGACTCGTTTATCCATACCCTAATATGTCCATCGTTGCTGGTGCTTGGCATGTTTTCTTTTGCATCATTTGCTGTTCATTCTGCTGTGTGTTTCGTGGCACAGCACATTTTAAGTGATTTACTGCTAGCTTGTACCTTTTCTGTTTGTAATATTCCGATCGTGCAGCGAGTGGTCAGATAATCGAACCTGCAGGAGGAACAATGAAAGCATTGGCATCCTACACCTGAAGCCTCAAGGTATGGTTAAAACTGCAACTTGATGAGGAGCTTCTCGTCTCTGCTGTGTTCTGTCTGTTGTGCTTAAGGAGAGCAAAAGATGAGTGATTAGAGAATAAGATTGAGGTATGTTGTGGGCATCAGCCCATTTTTTATGTGTAAACCGATTCCTTAAACCTGTCATTCTCTCCGTTGATATCCAATTTGGCTGATCTGTGTTGTTTATCAACACTTATGAAAGTTTAATTTCATACAACAAAAAAAATCGAGAATATTACAACACGTTACTGTAAAGTGGATGGATACATGACCAATAGTCACAGGCGAATATATTTATATTTTAAAAAAAGGCAAAAACATTAAAGTAGAGGATAAGTGGATAACCTCTGCCAACAAAAAGAGCCAGCCCTAGGGGCCCACGTCCTTTTGACCTGCTGCGCGTAGAAGTGACGCAAGAAGGCAGCGGGCCCACTAGGCAGGCGGCCCAGGTAGCAGGAGGCCCAGGTAGTCGCAGAGGCGCGGCCCACATGCGAGAGCCCGCGTGCAAACCGAGGCCGACCTGAGAGAACTCTTGGACTTCGCGGCCGCACTATATAAGATCCTCTCCGCCGCTGGCTATCCACTTCTCCTCCCCCAACCTCTCCGGCGACGCATCGAACCCCAAAATTCTTCCTCTCTCGAGAGAGAGCTAGGTTAGGATCGGATCAATCTCTCGCTTCCTTCCCGTGAAGATGTCGTCGCCCGCGGGGGAGGATGAGAAGAAGCCGGCGGGGGGAGAGGGCGGCGGCGCCCACATCAACCTCAAGGTCAAGGGACAGGTGCGTTTTCCTCCTGCCCCTTCACCTGGGATGGAGCGATCCCGTGGCGGGGTTGATTGCGTGATCGGAATCGCGTCGATTCTATCTAGATGTGAATGTGTTCGCTTCCTTTGTAGGGATTATGGGGCGTCTGCTCTTGCGATCGAAATCGCGATCGGAATTGCGTTGTGATGTGGTCTTAGGGTTTGTAGGTTGGAATTTCAATTCCCTATTTGGGCGTTGTTTGATATAAGTTTGGGTAGAAGAGGAAGTTTTAGCCGTAGGAATTATCGATCGATTTGTGCTAGGGCATGGCCGACCTTTGAGTTTCTAGCAGCGAGGTACTCCTACATGATGGGAGAATTGGTTAAGCACATAGGGGTTGTTTATCATCAGTAAAAATTCCAGTCCAATACAACTTACTCTTGATCATTGGTAATTTTGTTTGAGGCGTTAACCTTGATATGGTACTCTCTTATGATTTTTTGTTCCGAGTATACATGATAATTTAGTTGAATTTTCATTCAGATTATCAGTTCCTATGATGTTTTAGTTGATGCTGGTGGGTATCATACTCTCTTAGTTCGCAATGGCTGAAAGGAGTTTTTGTTCAGCGATACAGAACAATTTGTTGAAGCCAAATGGGATGTTTCATTGCTCAGTATCTCCTTCATACAGCATTGATCATAATTAGTTTAAACCCTAGTTAGTTGCATTCTCGATTTAGACTCTGGCATTCTCGAACATCTGAGTCATAGGCACACAACTATGCACATCCTTTGGCTAGTTAATTGTAATGATATTCAGAGCAAATCTGATCTGTGTATGCCTGTTGCATTTTCTGTCTGGAATTGTTAATATGGTTTTTTTCAAATACTGCCTTATAGGACATTTTCATGTACCAGGGCTGAGTTTTTTTGTGTTAAATACTCATAAAGGGGAGACTTGCTAGTTGCATGCATATCATAAGTTGCAGACAATTCTCAATTTCTGAGTGTCCAGATAAAATATAATGGCAAGAATTTGAGAATATGCATTTGTCTGTGGTTGTGTGCTAATAGGATATTATACTTCAATTCAAAAGTTTTAGATCACTCATAAATTTGCATCAACTTTGAAGTTGAATCATTTATCAATTGAGTCACTACGCTGCAAATTGAAAACAATGCATTTATTTGTTTGCGATGATGAGATGTTGCCAGATTTTTTTTCTTTTGTTAGTAAAGTGCATTTTATGTTTTGGCGCCATAAAACCTTATCATTCCTTGTGCTGTAGGATGGCAACGAGGTGTTCTTTCGTATCAAGAGATCAACCCAACTGAAGAAGCTGATGAACGCCTACTGTGATCGCCAGTCCGTGGATATCAAATCTATTGCCTTCCTGTTTGATGGTCGTAGGCTCAATGCTGAGCAGACCCCTGACCAGGTGCGTGATATACCATACTGCCTTCTCTAAACAATGAGCTGATGCAAATACTGCCTTCCCTAAAACCCAGTGCTATAGCTGATGCTTTTTTACCACTGCAAACTGTTTGATTTCAGCTCGAGATGGAAGACGGCGACGAGATTGACGCCATGCTTCACCAGACTGGGGGCTCTCTGCCTGCCTAGAGCTCATATGAAGCTGTTGCAACAATGCAACCGCATTACTATTTTCTGCCTTGTTAGAGTCAGTCAGTCTAGAGGACATGAAACTAGTCTAAAGAACTTGTGAATCGTTTGGTCCTGTGCCCCAGCTGAAGGACATTAGGGTGGCTTTGTTTAGCGAGACTTGGTACTTTGGTGTGTTAATCCATCGCCTAATTTATCCATCCTTTGCTGGTACTCCCGATGATACGCTGATTGTTTTTTAGCTCCTCGAAGCTGCATGCTTTTGTTTTGCTTTGCTGACCGTCTGTTCTGTCCCGTGTACGCTCGTCCGTTGAGTGCCGGGAGATTGACTGTCAGTTTTTGTGTTACTGCCTCCTCGGAATTCGTGCGCTGCACGTGTTAACTGTTGGATTTCACCCTGATTATCGCGCTGTTACCATGGGAATATTTCCTGCTACTGCAATCATCTCTGTTTGTTTCAGCATCGCTTTACTAACAGCAGTTACAATAGCAGGCTATAAACCAGCCTTAAACATATTTTAAACATATTTTAAAAAGATAAATAAGGAGAGAGATTGGCAGCGGGCTACAGATTTATAGCCAGCTGTAGCACGGACTTCAAGACGCAGGGTGTGTATGACAGGTGGGACCAGATATTAATAGTGTACTATGTAACTATTGTATGAATGAGCTATTAGATTGGTTATAGATAAATTAGAGCTAGTAGTTGGCTATATTATTAAACTTGCTCTAAGGGCAGTCCCAACCCATAACACTAGACATGGTTTACATAAAGTTCATATCATCAAGAAACTAGTACTAGACACAACTCTTCCAATGCAAACATCACTATTTCATACTTCAATTTAATGCTACTTATGAGATGTCTTGGATGTTGTATAGAAATCATGTCTCATACAAGACATGGTTTTTTTCTATTTCCTCATTTATTCACTTGCCACATTATGTTTTATCCTAGGTGGTAACTTATTTAATGATATGGACACCATCCTAATTATTGGGTTGGGAATACACTAACGAGTGTATTTCGTCTTTATTATGCTGCTAATGAGACGAATCCTTGAACGCTGGCTCATCAGTTGGTAATGCTACTGAGAATAAATCTGCACGAATTTGTTGTACAGATCTGTTTTGCAACTAGGATTAATCAAACTGGAACTTTTTAGAGCTGATAGTTATTGATCTATTAATATAGACCATTTGGTCATGAGACCGGGATGGCGTGACAAACACGCGGCCGATCGATCCACGGTACGATCGATGGTCCTGTTACCTCGCTTGCAAACAGATCTGTGATTAGTGGGCGAGATCAAGATCCAAATCCTGCACATTAAAGCTTTTTAGATTTGTTGACTTGCACAAGTTGCAAAAACTAAAACATGCGGATCACGAATTCACGGTGGATGGATCCCGCTAAGACGGATCGTGCGCCATGTTAACCTCGCCTTTTTATCTCGTCTTAATCTTTAATATAGCCCCCCTAAATTTTAATCTCATCTGACAAATCAGAGAGCTGACATTCTTAGAATTTACTCTTCTCGCCATTATCCTCCCATGTGCACCCCCCCTTAACCTCCCCTTGCTTTCGTCTTTAGCCACCGTAATTTTCTACCTTTTCTACTAGCACCAGATTAAGCTTAATTAACACAGCAGATTAACAATGCAAATCTCTCTGACATGTGGGCCACCCAGGCTGTGCCCCACATGTCAGCCTCTGGTAGTGGGGCTGCACTGTAGCAAATGGATGAGGTGAGGGTTGAATGCTCCGGGTCACATGAAGCCTCAGGTCCCCGTATTCAATGGCAGCGATCTACCCGTTCGTCCTGCTTCCCCCTCAGTTAATGCATTAACTATTTTGCTTGTTTTTTTTGCCATTAATAAAAAAAACATTTAACAGATCTTGCACGTCCCTGTGACGAGATACACAACCATACCAAAAATGCCGAGCATCCATTTACGCACCATCATTAAATCAGGTCCAAAAATAAAATTTCGGATAATTTTTATATACGTTTCAATCCGGCTTTTTCTTTACGTTTCTATATAAAGCAGCTTTGGATTTAACCCAGCATGTGTGTGTGTGGGGCAATTTGACCCGCTTCCTTCCTTCTGTCACAAGCCACTCCAGTGAAGCAGTTGTTTAACAGCTTCTTTAACCTCTAACCACTCTGTTAATCTGTCACGACCATCTGATCTAAACGGGGTAGCAATTAGATTAGTCATAATCTAATAATCCAATCTGTCACTACTGGAGTACTACTCCTCCTTTTGTTTTGTTTTTTTGTCGGTCTCCGTGCCCTTGTGCAGTCACATTGGAGATGGAGAGGTGAGAGAGAGAGAGAGAGAGATAAAAAAGGAGAAGTTTTTTGGACTTGTTTAAGCATTTTGCTGGCTCGGAGTCCAGAGTGAGAAAGAGACATGCACAGAGAGAGAGAGAGCGGTGAAAGAAACTGCAAACTGCCCACTGCCCACTCCCTCCTCTCCGGTCTCCATCTCCCAGTTTCTTCTTCCTCTCCGCTCTCTCCGCTGCTCTCGTCCCGTCTCTGTCCGGATTGCTCCGATTTCTTGCTCTTTACACCTGTCCATGGCGGGGTGAGTGGAGAGCGCGAATCTTGGATCCAACCCTTCGCGTTCTTGCTCGGCGAGGATGGAATTCGGGGGCGCCATTGATGATCAGAGGTGAGCTCTTTGGGGGTGCTTCGCGTGATTCGGGATGATTGCGCGGGTGGGAAAGGCGGTGGTTTTTTGATTGGTGGATTGGGAGGGGGATGGAATTGCGATTTTTGTCGATTTGATTCTGTCTTCGCTTTAGTTTTTTGTCCTCGTTGATCCCTAATTTCGCTTTCTCTGGTACGGTTGTTGGTTGGGGGAGCGGGATTAGTACCAACTCTGCTGCCCTTCTTTTTTTCTTCCTAATCTTTATGGCGTGATGTGATGTTAAGAGCCGGGAAAGGAGACTTCGAATTCTGGGAGAAAGTACCCGTGGAATTCTTTCGTTGGAAGCTTTGTTGTATCTTTTGCTCTTTTTGTGGTGTGTACTGTGTCTCAGTTCGTTGCAGTTAAATGTTGTTACTTGGTTGCTTTTGCTGCTAAACCCTAGTGGCTGGTTGTTCATGATTTTTGTAAGGAATGCTAGTGATGAAAGCATTCTTGTGCTTTTAACTTGCTCTCGTTTAGGCATTTGATTGGATATCCCTGCCCAACATCAAAGATTTCCTTTTTTTATCTTTTAGATTGCCAATGTTTAGCTTTTGTCTCATAGCTTTGCCCTCCACTAGTCTGCAATCTGAGTTTTCTGAACATTCTTGTGTTCTACAGCAAAAACCCCTGTAATGCGGTTCACAGGATGAAAGCTTTGCGTTTGCTATTTGTAATTGTTGGTTGCTGATTCATACAGCACTCCATAGGTGTAACAGTCTTAGTTGAACATTGGATGCATTTTTTTAGTTGACATTGAAAGTCCTCTAAATCATAAGATGTGCAAAGATATATGCTCTGTATCCCACTCATTTATTTGACGTTTTTAGAACTTTTTTTACTCGAGTAATTATTCATAACGGCGCCTTCAATGTGGAACATTGTACAGTGAAATGTGGGGATGGCAAAGTCAGGAGTATGATCTGCAGAAAGATTTGCTTGCTGGTATGCACCGTACTTTTCATCAGTAGTTATGTCCTTCAGCTCCCCCCTGCAAAAGGATAGTGCTGAACAATTTGTCTGATTTCAGAAGAAGCTGCAGATCCATCTAGCTGTTTGTGGAGTGAAGCAAATCAGAATGCCGGTGATGCTTGGACCATGTTTGATGAGCAAACTCCAATAAAACATTGTACAGACATAGATTTTCAGTTCTGTGATATAGGAGGTAAAGGATTTCTTTTCTTGTATGTATGATGCAACACTTCATAGTTATCATTAACCGCCAATATATTGCACTGTCAAAAATAGCTGCCACCATTTATCTCTGAAGTCCCTAGCACGTTTCTACAATCAGTCTTAAGACACATTTGCCACTTAGTAATTTTAATGCCCTTCTGCTTCCTAATAATATCATTGACACACATATTTGGTTGTGTTTCTATATACAAGCAGAGTTGTAGATAATACCATCTTCTGTGTACACTGAACATTGGACAAATATCTTTCCTTGTTATTTGCCTTCCTGAGGCTTGATTTAAACAATCACTTGAAATTAGAACATTGCATTACACTTGTAATCTTGGTCACCATCTCCAAACGAAACAAATCAATAATAGTTCTATCTTATCTCACCTTTTGGTGCATACCAAGCGGTGCTTTTGTTTGATGTCCTTATGTGAACATGTATGCAGATATCATTGTCAAGGATTTTGATGAAGGAAAGGAAACTTTACAAGCTAAACGAAGACGCATGCTGCAGTTCTGTTCAGACAATGTTGAGGTATATACCAAGTCTAATGTTCTAATATGAAGTTAAGTCCACTAATCGTTTTAGAAAAAGTCCATGAAAAATGAATTTAAATACAGATTAATACTTCTGGGTTGCAAGGCTTGTCAAAGCAATGATCAAATACACTAACTTGGTGTTTTAAATCCATCAATGTGATAGTCTTGTACTCTTGTTATGTGTAGATGGATTGTGCTATGGCAGCAGATGGACTATCGGAAAATCTTCAATTGAATTTGGGTTTCTCTGGTATATCTCCACCATGTCTGTTATGCTAGATTGGGTTGATTTATCTCCACTCTTAATTCTAGAGATGACTCCAGGTGATCAGTGTTTATTAAACTGTGATGGGACAGAGGAACTACCAGAAGAATGGCTAGTAGATTGTTCACCACAAGAGAGTGAGCCTCAATGCCCGCCTGAAGATATGTCCGTTCATTTGAGTAGTCCTGCTGTGGCCATGGAAGAAGCCAATCTTTCCGGTTAGTGTAAACAAACTTCTGTTCCCAGAATTTCAGTACTTCTATTTGTTGCATGACACTAGAGTGTGTTCTCTACTTTGTTTTACAGTGCACAAAAATTCTTCGTCTCGGGAGCAGGGCAACACAGTCCAGAAGAACACTGTGCAAGCTCGACCAACACCTCTGAAAGGTATACCCAATTCTAGCATATTTGCCATGTTTCTGCCCCCTTATGATCCATAAACTCATATGTTATCCTTTGGTTGACAGCTGGAAAAAATATTATTAGAGCAAGAAAGGTGAAAACATCAGTCGTCTATCCTTTCGAGCTTATCAAGCCATGCGGTTTTCATGGTGATGTCACATTGCATGATATCAATCAGAGGATCCACGCCCCGCCCCCATACAAGATAAAGCACAAGATCGACGAGGAGCAGCTCTCCTATCAGACTTCAGCTATTTCCGGGAAGCCTGTAGTCCACAAGACAAAGATTCATACAGAAGGAGGAAAGGGCAGTATCACAATCACAAGAACTAGAGGTTAATTAGGTCAATGGTATGCATATATGGTGCCAATATGGTCCTTGTACCATGCATTTCTGATATATTGGGTTGTGTCAATGTTTTGTGGCCAAGGAAATGCATGCCCTTGTTGGAATATTGTTAGCCATTTTTTTTTCACTTTATTTCTTCCATTGTCCCCCCTTCGGAACTTCTTTGCCTGTACTTGCTTGGTTAGTGTGAGATAGTATGATAATAGAGTGTGTAGGCAGGGTGTGGCAGTGGCAAAGTGTGCTGCTTTTTTGGTTCTTGGTTGAAGGGGGAAAGTTGATGTAATCAGATAAGTCAGTAATTGTGGACATATTGGTTTGGTGAGATTATATTTTGCAAGATCAGCTTCATAGCTACGTACATCTCTGCTGCAAACTCCATATCCTGAAGTCTAACCGTACAATTTTACTGCTTGAAGCATTTTCAGCACATACTGTTCATGTTCAGATACCTGAACTGATAATTAAAATTGCTCCATTAATATCACAATATAATTACTCCTAATTGATGAATAGTATACTAGTATTTAACTAGTGTGAGGGAGGTACAATCCAGAATGGTTTAGTGCTCTTGAGATCCAAGTCGCGATCATGAACTCGAACAATGTCCAGCGTCTGTTCATCGAGGTCGTAGATGCAGAGATCCCCGTCGTTTTCCCTGAAATTCTTCATGAAGTAGACGTGGTTCCGTTTCAGGTTGAGCACCTTCTTCCAAGGGCATCATGAAACTGTGTGATTACTTCGAGCAGGTCCCTTTACTTATTGGATAGAGCTACCGTTGGTCGCCTTATGACCCTTATCCAAGAAGTTCATGAAGACAATGCACACCTCAACCTCACCAGCGGCAAGATACACGATTGTTTGCGGACTGGAGTTAAACCTCTCTACCTCGCAAAGTTGAGAGGTTATTCTCTCTCACCTGCCGATTACCAGGAACGTAATCTGGGTATATTCATCCTCCCAGTAGCAAGATAGTGTTCAGATCACCCACATAATAAGATTGGAGGGGATTCCCTTGTTCGGTTAATCCCTGTGAGGGAGGGATTGGAGGGGATTTATTCCACACCCTATTGTGGTATGGAATTATCCCCCCTCAGTTCCCTTCAATCCCCTCCAAACGGAACATGGCGTTAGGTTTGCAGGGGATTGAAGGGGATTGGAGGGGTTTAAGGGGGAATAATTCCACACCACAATAGGTGTGGAATAAATCTCGTCCAATCCCTCGCTCTCGGGGATTAACCGAACATAGCTTTATGAAGGAGAAGGCAACTACTACAAGCCATTATTCATGTCTATGCATAAGGCACTTGTGGCCAAGTATGTTGTCGACTATTAAATACCAAATTTGCGTCGTCAATACCTGCATAAATTTAAAAATATAAAACATCCAATATAGTGGTAGGTTTATGTCGACGAGTGATACTCGCGGACCGGATGAGTAGAGTATTGGGGTACGTTGGAACGATGGTCTACATAGTACAACATCAAGCAGACAAAAGACAAAGATTATACTGGTTCAGGCCCCTTGTCAGGTAATACCTCTAGTCCAGTTTATATGGGATTGATGATGATGAGAACGTATTACAAAGAGAGTAGTCGAAACAGATGATATCGACGAGATCGTAGTCGAGGGATTCAACGAGATCTCCTGACGACTTGGCTCCGCGTACTCCGGCTTCGTAAACTTTGATGGGTGTATTGGCGATGGAATTGGATGCCTTGTACCCCTCTCAGGGGGTCCCTTTTATACTGTGGACGTGGATCATCTTGACCCCAAGAAAGATATGAGGATATGTGATTTGATACGGCATAACAGAAATCGTATTCCCTCCGAGTAGGCCCTTGGAAATCGCTTGACTCGTAGAGATATTTTCCATAATTTGGAACGGATTCCAAATGATATTTATGGGAACGATCCGTATACATGAAGGTATGCCTTGTTGGTATATTCCATAAGTCGAAGGATAGGAGGCATGCCTTATCCGTAACCCTGACAATTTATTTCTAACAATTTTCACGAGTGTTGGTGTATATATATAAAGAAGGGGAAGAATTACATTCATATTCAAGCCAATGAATTATCGAGTCCATAAACCCAACAAAATACCTATAACTAGGTCTTGGCTCAGCCTAGCTGGCCTAGAAACTTCACAAGTCGGTAATTACCTACCTCCTAAGACGGTTGTGACCGTTTCCTGTGCTCCAACCGTCATCAGAAGGACACATGGAAAGAAGAGAATGAATATGCCCTCTAGATTCATGGAGCATCTCCACCCTTCCTCCCCCTATAAATACCCATCTCCTTTATTCACAGCATGTAGATGTGATGTGAGCTGAATTATAAGATGCTCTTTGTATTCTTTTATGTATACTTAGAATAAGAGAGAGAGTAAGGAAAAAAGAGTTGGAGGAGTTCCAGAATTGTCGCTATCTCTCTATTTCTTTTATACCTTAGCAATTACTTTGCTCTAATTGAGAGTATTTCAATTAAGTAACTAAGATTTATCTTGTGTGGTATACTTCTTAGTTAGTTCCTATTTAGCTTGCTGGTATTGTTATCGGTGTTTACTGCGTATCCCACAGTACGTTAGAGGTTGGTGTAGAGGTGGCGACAGCTCCCGAGATCACTGTGCAAGCAAGCTAGTGCCTGAAGGATAGCGATAGGATTAAAGTTTAGTTTTCTAAACGACCTTGTACCACATCAGAAGAACATATCTATCGTTTTGCCTGTATTTATGTTACCTATAAAAATTCGATACCTTGAATATTTCCGAGTGAAATGCTACAGTGGTATATCTGTGCGCTTGCAGATTTTATCTGTGAACGTAAGAATTATACTGAACCTAGGACAGAGTTACCACTATGTTTAATCAAGATGAAAGCTTACCTTGAACTTTCAGATGTTAAGAATCTCTTCTTGTTTATACATGACCCCTGTTTTTTCTCCTCCAAACACTCATCGCTTGTATGCAGATAGAAATATAAATATATAGTATTCTCATAGAGAAATGCCCTACTCGTGGTCTTGAAAAAGAAGCACGTCATACAATTCAACATATAGAAACTAGCTTTCCTATGTTCATGACGAAATGCATAAACCATGCCTTTATGTTGAGCTTTTCTAGTTTCCATGGTGAAAAAGTTATTAAATTAGCCAGTATGAAAACAATGTTATCAGTAAAAAGTATTTGATCGTGAATGGGAAGAGAATGATCATATAAGGTGATGAGGATTTTTGGAGGCAACAAGATATGTCCTGTTACAAGTGGTTTACAAGGAAACCAAAACAGCCAAAGAAGAAGACATAAGACAAGTTATATAACTAGTTGAGGAAACCCTGCTAAGGATGGCGGGATCTTTCACCGGTTTCGAAACCTTTATCGGCATGTTTTCTGTATTTGAGCAAAATAAAATAAACAAGATGTAACTAGAGGAAATCATGCAACGCAGAGATCTAAAGTGGATAACTTTGAAATCGTACGATAGAATGATTAAACATGTAGAAGAATGATTGGTGAAACCATAAAATGCAATGCTAAAAAACATATATGAGACAACATACGAACCGCATAGGAGTAACAATAAGCGTTGGGGCAGAAGATCTAAAGCAAAGCAAGATGTAAAGCAAGTCAGTTGGACAAATCAATCGCATAGATGCATAATGCAAAATGCAACAAAAACTAATCTATTGGATGTAGTCAGCAAGAATCGGTTAAGGATGCAACACACACAAGCATAGTGCAAAGAAGCAACAAGAACTAATACAGATATATAGCGAACAACAATCTGAATATCCGATCAAATATGAATCTGCAGATTTCAGAGAGGTATCCATCAACGATAGATCAAATCAAATATGAATAGGAATAGATACAGCATGGCTAAAGAAAGACGAGATCAATCACATGTAGGCACCAAGAATAGGAATACAAGCATAATGCAAACAAGCAGCAACAACTAATCTAGACAGATGGCTCGAACAACGATGCGAATATTCAGGTGAAAATACACGGCACGAACAACACCACCTCGTAAGCACGCTACCACACGAGATCCCTGCCCTAGTGGTGTGGGGCTGGCTATCTGTCAGAGTTTGTTACCCTTCACTAATAAAGCAATATGAGTAGTTAGTTACACCGGTGTTTACCACTAACTGGAGTAGAAACTATTATCAATTAACACAGTTTATTTTTTTAGTTGTACTCCATTTGTCCCGAAAAATTCAAACTTTAGATTCCCTTGTAAAAATAGGAAGAAAGACAATGGACCAAATGTCCCTAATTAATAAGATAAGTTATATTGGTAGATAGTAGGTGATAGGCAAGAAAGTAGGCATTGATTTATTTTGGGACAAATTCAAGCTCTATAAGTTGATTTATTTTTGGACGGAGAGAATATTTAGCTAATCATTCCCTATGCCTCTCGTTTCCAATTTTCCTTATGGCTTGTTTAGCAATTCGAGGGAAAAGGATTAGGAGTTTAGATGAGGGAATTGATAATGAGATTAACATGTGAATTTGATTTTTAGTTACAATCTCTTGTTTAGTAGAGGTGATGGGACTTGACAGTAGTTTAGTTGGAGACTAGATCTTAAATGAAAACGAAGGGCTGAGATTTGTTTAGGCAATATAAATGAGAAATTCCCTTCCAATTAGCAGCCCCTATCCAGATATTTGAAAAGGAGGGAGTTCCTCCCTCAATTCTCCATCCCAATTCCATCCTAACTTCTATGTCTCTCGACCAAAATAACCAAAAAGAACAGTTAATAGCCCCATCCCTAAACTCCTAATCCCTTCTAGAAACTCCCAACCCCCAACACTCCCCAACCAAACATACCCTTAAGGACCATGTTGCTCCTTTGGTTTTGAGAGCCTGTCCACCCTTTTTTTTTTCATTAGTAGTGTGCTTTATCCCGGCTGCAATTTTAGGCTACTACTAGTAGCCTACCAGTGCCAATAGCTAGTATAATTACATATTTTTTGAATCCATTCGGACAATTACCGCTACAAAGCATAAACATATGAGATTATCTGTCTAATCTTCTCGCTTATACTTATACTTATCAGCCAAAATTTGAATTTTCAACCTTAAATTTGGAGTTGATTTTGAGGTTTTTTTCGTCGAAGTTTATTTTTCAGCATTTGCTTTTAGATCGCTAAGAACATGTATATAAAAGTTTTATTGACAAATTACTTTTTGTTTATAAATATGTCGTTTGGCTTATTCCACACATAAGCCAACCGGTGGGCTCCTATATTTTCCGCGTGTATCCATTTACATACCCGCGAGATGGCGACGATTTAACATGCAACACTAATTTTCAAAGCTTAATTGAATCCATGCTATTACAAATTTATCATA